GTTTTCTATATTTGAATGTTTTAATATTTTTTTTGACTTACAAATGTATGTATTTATTTATATATGGGGGGGTTTTAGTTTACAAATTGACTTGTCGAAACGAACGATATGTTTTTTTTTTTTTAATTACAAAAATCTTAAAATTTTTGTATACTGTGTAAGCAAAAATTAAGATGAATTTTTTTTTTGTGAATTAAAACTCTGTATTTATTCTTCTACATCGATTTTGTCACCTTCAAAATAGTCCTCTGCCGAGGCAATGCACTTATGCCAACGCTTGGCTTTTTCCAATTATCGAAGCATATTGAATAGTCACGTTCTGGTATGGCCTTCAGAGAGCGCGCCGATTCACGTTTAATCTGCTCAATCGACTCAAAACGGTATCCTCGAAGTGGTCCCTGGAGTTTTTGGAAGAGCCAGAAATCACATCGTGCTAAGTCCATCCGGTGGTAGTTGGAGAACGATATTCGTGCAATTTTTTAGCGCTATGGTCATGAAGAATTGATGCATAAAACCACGAAGGGGGGGTTAGCCGTAAACGTAACTAAAATACCAGTGTTGACTTTGACATGAAATGTGGGGGGGATGTCCAATAACAGCGAAGCTCAAATGAAAAAATTCAACTTATTTTTTGCTCACAGTGTATTTTATTTTTCTTTATTGCACACTCAATATGTATGCACATACACGTATGTACATAGGTACTAATTTAAGTATTAATGAAAAATTAAAGAATTTTATATTTAAATTATTCTTGATTAATATGTAATGTATGTTTGTGTTTAGATGTGTGTGGAATTTTAAAATGAATGTAAAATTAAAATAATTAAAAACAGATAGAGTTTACATTAATATTTATTAAAAATAAACAAACTAATGGAATATACATACAAGATACATTGAAAAAATATGGACAATTATTTAAACAAAAAATAAAAGAATTTAAAAAAAAAAACTACTACTATTATTTTTCCAAACTTATTCCAAATAATGGTAAGTAAAAAGTAATCCATTATTTTTGCATTAAATTGAAGTCTATTATTTAACCGTAGTTAAAATTATACGATTTATGCCAAATATGCGCCATTTTAGGGGGGGACTTTTTGCCATTTTAAAGTTAATGTCATTCTGGCTCTCTCATGGAAACAGGGGGGGCAAGAGGTTTCTCTTGTGTCCAATTCTTCAATAGCCAAATCATACGCCATGGGGGGGAGGAACAGTTGGCAATCGCTTGGTGTGAGGTGAATGCATAAGAACTTCCGAACCAAGCTCTCGGCGCTTTTGGCAAGTCACTATCGATGTGTATGGTTAGACGTTGTGGGGGGGAAACACTCTACCCCTCCTTTGAGACAAAGCAGACGGTCCAATTGCTGACGGGGGGGGTTCGAATTAAGAGTTTCAAGGTAGAGAAGCCGATTGTAGTGGATGTTTCTTTGCCAATCACAGCCTACACACACACACACGAAATAGCCTTACGGCCGTTAATACGGGTTTGGAGACTGTTCGTGCGTAATCACTGCCCTTCTACCACGACCGTTTTTATTTAACGTGGCTGTGAAAGTTCAACTTTTCATCACCAATCATCACCCTCTTCAGAGATATGAGGGGGGGTTGTTACGATTCAACAGCGATGCGCATTTAGAAACTCGCTCCATGAAGCTTTTTCTCGGCCAAACTCGACGCGACTCAAACATGTTTTGGTTTAGTTAAAACAGCACAACGAGTTAGAATGGTTAAAATACACTACAGAAAGTGATGATTCAAACGTGTCCACGTTTTGTAATTTAAGTGGTGCTTATGGTTCGCATAATCGTTCAACTACTCAAGCAATTGGTAAAATTTTGAAGAAATTTTAAGATAGTGGTTCGGTTAGAGGTATTGGAAGGTCTGTGCATCATCGGTTTGCTCGTTTCACCTTAAATATCGTATATTCCTACTGTAAGTGAAGACCCGAATGTGTCAATCCTTCGACGTTCTCTAATGCTGCGACTTTCTTACGGCACGGGGGGGCGTATTTTGCACATGGACTTATGCCTGCAACCATATAAAGTCCAGCCCATACTACAATCGAAGCCAGCTAACTATTGACAGCGTCGTTCAGACGTCCATAGAGCGCTTAATTAACAAGCCGTGGACGACGATTTTTCGAACAAAATTCTATACAGCGTGGGATACACAAACATGCAAAATTGTCGTATTCCTCCTTGGCCCAGAGATGTGATTGAACTTTAGGGGGGGGAAAACGATAACGGCGAGTCTTATCACTGTGAATTTGGAGTGTTACGAAAGTATGATAACTGAACTTTTTTGGCCGGCAACATGACTTGGACAATATAAGGGTTTCAGGGGGGGGGAGCCACATGCCACACAACATTATTGCATATGGCTTTTCCCGCCGCGTAGGGGGGGGTATTTGTGATGTCTTTTAGCCACCTGCATATACATCTATGATCCCATATGGGGGGGAACGTAGTTAGTGTCGTGCGAAGACTCCACATCCAGGGCATACGTTGGGTATGCTGGGGTCTAGTCTGGATAATTAGGAGCTTAACCTGCTACAGTATCCAGACCTGGGGGGGGTCAGGGTCACGCGGGTCTCTCGAGGCAGCTCGAGCTCGTTGTCTGCTACAGGTGGTGGTTTTTCTCCGAGTACGACATTCACTACTGGAAGGGAGTCCTTGAAGGTGGGGGGGGACTCCTGGTGAATGGCGTTCAGCGCTTGTCTGTACGCCGTGTTGTTGTTGGGGGGGGGGTTCGCAAACCCCCTTAGGCACAGGCTTGATTAGTCTAAGTCGTCGAGGGGGGGGGAAGGTAGGCCCAGGAAACGAGTTGTTTCGACGGGGTTGGACCAAAGGGAGGGGGGGGTTAGATGAGTAGGTTTGAGGGGGCATGTGAAGAGGTGGTTAGTGTCGTGCGGGGACTCTCCACATCCAGGGCATACGTTAGGTATGCTGGGGTCTAGTCTGGATAATTAGGAGTTAAACCTGCTACAATATCCAGACCTGAGTTGTGTCAGGGTCACGCGGCTCTCGAGGCAGCTCGAGCTCGTTGTCTGCTATAGGTGGTTGTTTTTCTCCGAGCATGTCATTCACTGGAAGGGAGGCTTTGAAGGTGTTGACTGACTCCTGGTGAATGGCGTTCAGCGCTTGTCTGTTTGCCGTCCTGTGCAGCGGTTGTTGTAATTGTTGCTGGATTGTGTCGTTAAGATCTAGTACTCCCTATCTGATGTGCCTAGGTGGAAGTTCAGCTTCTATTAGGTGCCTATTTTTGGGGTGCTCCCTGCGGTAGCATCCTAATAGCAAGACATTATGCTCCTTAACTCGTAGCTTCGCTGTGCAAGTGATGCTCCGGCGACATCAGCAGGTTTCCTGTCGTGGTCCTGAGGGCGGTGTTCTGGCAAGCCTGTAGCTTCTTCATCTGCGTCTCGTTCGTTCACGGCACCGTCGTCTCAATAGTAATTTGGGCCTATAGCTACTACTGTATAAAATTGTATGTAAATCAAACTATGAATACAAATTTTTAAAATAGATCAGTCCCGGCGTTACTTTCTTTAAGAAAAGCTGTTCCCCATGTGAATTTAAGCAAAAAGTTATTTGTGTAAGAAATTTTATCTATATCAAACGATTTAAAATATAACTTGATTTCCTCGAATAGACCGGTCTTAGGTCCACTAGAAAATCCCTTTTTATCGGTTACATGCATCATACGCAGAACACATTCTCCAAGTTTGAGGTTTGTAGGACCAGTGGCTTAGGCCATGGTTTGATACATTTGTTATATCATATTGCGTACTATTTTATTTATTTATTGTTTAATTTTATTACTTAATTTTTTTTCTTTTATTTGATCTGATTTTATTTTTTCCATTTTTATAGAATTTTGTCTAATTTTTTTTTCGTGGATTTCTGTTATTATTTATTTTATTTTAAATATTTTCTTGTTTTTTTTTTGATTTGTATTATTTTATTTCGTTTTTGTATCTTATTATGTTCTATTTTATTTCTAGTTGCCTTATTGCGTTTCATTTTATTTTATTCTATTTTTAATATTTTTACTTTATTTAATTCACTTTTAATTTTTATTTTTATTAGTTTTTTTTCTCATTTTATTTATTTCTTTTATTTTGATTCAATTTTTTTTCTATTTTTTCTTTTTATTTAATTTTTTTGGCTTTATTTTAATTTAATTTGTTTTGTTTTATTTTATTTACTTTTACTTAATTTATTTACTTTTACTTAATTTTATTCCATCTCATTTCGTTTCATTTGATTTTATTTTATTCAATTTAATTTTTTTTTACTTTATTTTGTTTTGTCTTATTTTTTCCGCTATTTATTTATTTATTTTTATTTTCTTTATTTGAATCTCTTTTTTAATTCATATAATATTTTTGCCTTTTTTATTTTAATTTGTTGTAATTTTTTGTTTTTGTATTTATTATTTGCATTTATATCATTTTATTATACTATGTTACTTTTGTTTTATATTATATATTTAATCATAATTTGTTTTATTTTCTTTTTTATTTTCTTCCATTTAATTTTTCTTCATTATCTTCTCTTTCTTTCTTTTATTTTATTGTTTTTTTTTTCTATCATATTATTTATTTTTTTCTTTTATTTTATTATATTTATTTTTTTAATTCTAATTTATTTTTTAATTTTTTGCTTTTTTCTCTTAATTTATATTAATTTATTTTGTTTCTGTATCTATTGCAATTTTTGTTTTATTTATTTTTATTTACTTTTACTTTATTTTATTACATTACAATGAAATACCATTTACCATTTTCTTTTATCCTAATTCATTTGATTACCTTTTTTCGTTTTAATCTTGTATGCTTTTTTATCTCAATTTATTTTGTTTTTGTATCTTATTGCATTTTTGGTTCTATTTGTTTTTAATAAGTTTTATTTTATTTTCTTTCATTTACCATTTTCTTTTATTCTTTTTCATTTCATTATCTATTTTTCTTTCTTTTTTTATTGTCATTTTTTATTTATTTTTTATGCTTTTTTAGGCTATGCTTCGAATATTTCTGAGAATATTTACTTTAAGTTTTTATTTTTATTTTTAAGTACAGTTAAACCACATTCTTATCTAACTTAACCTAACCTAACCTAATTAAGTACACTGCTTAGCGTTTAATCACAAATAAGAGATTTCCGTTTCGTTTCCCAGGAATACTTTTGACCCCCTCAAACTACTTACACGTATATATGTACATGTGTATATACAAGAGATTTATGGCAACTTCATAACAATCCACGGTACACGCCCATAATACTTATAGTGATAATAATCGTAAGCCAATTTACTGAGAATCAACACTATCAGCAGCGCCAACACAATATTCAACATATCCAGCGGATATATTTTCGGTTCCTCCTCCGGCTTGCAGACATCCTCACGTGTTAGCATTAGCACGTTGGCGCGACGCACAGGGTTGCTATGTTTGTATGTGCAAGTGATGTTCGTAGCATCGCGTGTGATTTCATTATATTTCATTAAAATCTCACGGAAACGCATTGTGAAAATACAAGTGCACTGCCAGGGATTGCCGCTGAGTAGCAGGAGATTCGCATCGATATTATCGTCCAGTGCGTTGTCAAGCGCATACACAGGTACCTAGAGGTGATGTAATAATCAATTCAGTGTAGATCTATTAAATATTATATAAGTTTTAACTCATTTATCTTACCTTTTGCAAATGATTTCCACGTAAACTCAGCAAACGAAAGTGCTCAAACCAATAACCACCTTCCAGTACATCGATAGACTCAATGCGATTGTTGTCCAGATATATGTCCACCACGTGACGATAATGGGGGTTGTTACGGAGTGGTAGCACGTCCGTAATCTAGGGGAAATAATATTTATTTATTATTTGATTTTAGCCCTCTCCAAAGTTCGGTACTTTCGAGTAGCAGCAGACTTTCTGAAAGTATTTTACTTGCTAACGTCTGAACACAGCCTTAGCTACACATACCTCATTGTCATTTAGATAAACTGTTGTTGTGTTTGCCGGTATATAATTGGGCATTGCTCGGAATTGTAGATTACTACAGTTGATTGTGTAGAGCGGTATGTATGTCTTCGGTATGATATGATGCATTGTGCAGGTGCAATTCTGTAGGTCCTCGTGTGTTTGACATTCTGTGCGGAGCATCTGTTGGAAGAAGAGTTATTACAATTACGTATAATGGAGACGATAACTCAGGCATCTGTTTAATTAGATAAGATAAGGCGAGTGTATTATGGTTTTAAAATGAAGCGTGCAAAACCAAACTACAATTGGGCTCTGTGCGAGATGGCACTGAAAGTCTGGTAGGCCTGGAAAGTTTTAAAAAAATAAATGCAGGCTTCATACTGAGAGTTTTGTGAGGCCTGGGAAGCTTTACAAAATAAATGGAGGCTTTGTACTGGGAGTTTTGTGAGGCCTGGGAAGCTTTACAAAATAAATGGAGGCTTTGTACTGGGAGTTTTGTGAGGCCTGGAAGGCTTAAAAAAATAAATGGAGGCTTTAGACTGGGGGTCTGTGAGGCCTGGAAGGCTTAAAAAAATAAATCGAGCTCTTGAGGCTTTACTCTTTTTGGAATGCTTGAAAGTCGAGTTGGAAAGTAATACATAGAATTAATAAGATTTCTTTTCTCACTGCCCTAAAGAGACCACCCGATTCTCTTCAACTTTATGCAGATCGAGAATTTAATAGTGACTACAGTCTTACGGGAATTAAGCTAAAGCTGGGTGTGAAATAAATCATAGCGTCAACAGGAATACAATTAGTTCTTAAGCGACGCTTCTGCCACATGTATAACTAAATCGTAAATGATGTGGGAATGTGTCAGGAAACTAAGTGAAGAGGAAGAACAGCATCAATTTCGCCTCATCTTAGGTTCTGGGGTACGAGTATACAGGTATAGGGGAAGTCTACTTTGTTACCTTATCAGAGAGTTGACAAGAATCCACCTATCGACCCAAAAACGAGTTCCCACCATAGAAAGTAAGAGAAGAGTTAAATGCTGAAGGAATGAAGATGAAAGATCGTCATTATTATTTTAATTAAAAATAACCTATAATAATTATAGTGGACTTTGCAGTCTATATAGAATCAGTAGGGACAATGGGCTATAGTCGCGGTGAACATACCCGAAGACATGTATTTATTTACCGACAGCCTTCGTACGCGGCCAGAGTTCTTTCAATCTCTCTCCTTTCAGGCAGTGTAGATAGCGGGTGTTTCATAATAGCAAAACTTAAGGATTTTCACACAATTTTCCAAGGCTCTACCACTTCAAAACAGAAGACAGTAAAATCTAGGCTAAAAAGTGTTGGCGGATGCAGTTTCCGAGTGGTAAGCAGTGGAATTTATTATGGGGAAGGTAAAAAATTCGAGCTCTGGCCATACCAAGTATAAAAAATATGGTATGAAAACCTATTCGAGCGTTTTCCAGATTTTGAAAAAGTATCTCCTCATAAGAATTCATCAGCTCAACGGAGGCAGTTTAGAAAAATCTTTGATCTATTCATTTTTGAGGTGAAAATCAAACGAAAATCACTTCTGCGGTTATTAAGTAAATATAATATTTAGAACGGTAGTTAGAGATTGATCGTCCAGTTCTGGAAACCGTTACTACAGACAGGCGCAAATCGTAGCCTCCGTAAAAAAAAATAAGACTAATCATAGGTTTATTTGTTCCTTCCTTTTCTCTTTTGTGAACAAATCGATTTGCGGGGTTTTGGATGCGCTCGGAAATAATTCTAAAGTTCTTTATTTCTACTCTAAGACTCACTCAGTAGATAATTACGTATATCTGGGAACCAGGGCTAACATCAAAGCCAACATTAGCAACAATATCAGCCTTCAAATTCAACACAGAACCACTGTTTTTAAAGGAGCGTTAGTTTTAACTCCGCAGGCAATTGAATAGTCGTCCCTCAACCTACAAAGACAAACTATTACAAGGCCGTTTGAGTATTCGAGAGAAAGGCTTTGCAAAAGATTTATGGAGCTTCGGGTTCTGTCAACGGCGAATACCGCAGACGATGAGCTGTACGCGCTGTACTGCGGCATTGACTTAGTTCAATATTAAGAGGCTTGGCCAGGTCAAATCATCTGAATAGATAAAAATTGCTCCAGCTTTGAAAGTTTTTGATAGAGTAATCGCCTCACACCCAGAAAAAAGAGAAGAAGGAGAAGGAGAGCGATTTAGTTTCACTTAAATCAATCTATTGGCGCTAAACAGCTGAAAGAAGGAATGGTTTGGCGTGTTATTGTTGTGAATTGGTTATCGGGGAACATTACAGGACTGACAGTCCTTGGCCGGATAAAAATCTGGGTCGTTTCGTTATAAAGACCCAACTATCGCATGAACTATTGGATTTTAATCGTCTCTTACGGCAGGCATGCCTTACCACGGAAAAATTTTTGAGCACCTAACGAAAATCTTTCAGGTTGATAATCGTATAGATCAGAGCGCGCTCGGAACCATTACAGCTTTTTCTTGCTGTCTCTCATCTCTTGCTACTACTTTCATCCTAAATGACTGTTTTACTTGGGTGAAAAGCCCTACTCAGGCCCATTTCGTGAGCATAGCCTACGAGGAGCCGGCTGAAGAAGGGAAAGGAAATCTGTAGCCGACTTACAGCTGCCGCAGAGGATCATACTTCCACTTTAAGCGGAATGAGAAGAGCGAACAGCATAGAAACAGGACTCTACTGATAGACTACAAACGGTTTGTCCTTAAAGAAGTTTTTCTTTTAATTACGGTTGTTTATTTTATTCTATATAACTTAATTACTTATAGTTTCAGACAGTGTTTCGTTATAGGGAAATCACTTTGTGACCGTTAACGTTTCGCAAACTTTGATTTCCTTCTAATACCACTCCTATTAAAGTTATCATATTTTACTTCGAAAAATTCTCTATTCCACTCACCACTTTATAATTCATCACTGTCATCATATGCCGCTCCTTATACTTCTTATCCTGACAAATGATCTCATCACGATCCACAACCATAGCCCCCTTCTCGGGTATCAGTAACCACTTGAAATTCCGCGTACAGTTCCATGGATTCCCTACGAATGAACTAATGGATATTAAAATGTGACAGAACATGCCTGCGTATGAGCGAACAATTGAATACTTGCCAGCTAAGTAGAGCTTCTCGAAGTAACGCGGCAGCAGCAGCGGACCATCCAACTGTACCAACTTATTCCAACGCAAATCGACGATGCGTAAAGCGTGGACGCGTTTGAAAGTACGCGCATTTATTTGCGATAAATTCGTCCAAGAAATGTTTATGCTCTAAGGGATGATTAAAAATGGGGAAATTAAAGGAGATCTTGATTATTTTAATACAATATCTGATGGCTTATATAAATATATACAAAAATATAAATGGCGCTCTGCAACCGCTGAAACAATTTTCGGTCGAGATCATGCCTCAATTTGTTGTATAAGTCTTGAAGTTTTTCCAACATAATGGACGGACCTACAGTTCATGCATTATTTGCCGCCTCGTAAGGGCCCTTGGAGTCTTATGTGGGGCTTTTCTTTCATGTCAGAAATAAAACCGGAGGGCTTGACATTCCCTGCCGTGGGGCGACCGCAATTAGGAGAAATAGTTTTCTATAATTTCGGCACTACAACTTACCTGCAGATAAAACATTTCTGGAAAATCAAACACGAACTCTCTCATCTCACTGTATTCGATAATGAGTGAACGTATTTTTGGAAACAGCTGCAGATCTGTTACGGGATTGAAGGTTCGTTCGGGCCAGCCGCAGAAAATGATGTCCTCCAAGCGGTGCACTTTTTGTTCGCTATTTAGTTGGATTAAAGAAAAATAAAAAATAAAATAATAAAAATAAAATAAAAATTTTAAAATCTACTTTAAGCAACTTACGGCAATGCGAGTAAATTATTTACGCCACCATAACAACGTAAAGCACCAAAACGGCCGTAACGTGTGCAATTACCCACAGCTGCCTCGGGTGCACGCTGCCAGTCCACGCAGGTGAAGTTGTGTTGATGTGAGTGTGGAATGTATTCGCCATTTACGAAGCTGTGTTTGCAAAAGAGAGAGAGATAGAGAAAGAGAGAGAGAATTAGAAAGAGGGAAAATTGGAAGATAATTAAAACCTTTTCTCATAAAGGGTTTTCTAATAAGAGAGAAGAAATTGTTGGAATAAATGGAGCTGTGCACGACGCTCAAAAACAACTGAGACTATTGCTGCCGCAGCGCTAAGTAATGAAGAAAACCCAAGGTTTATCCATTCCTGGCCATCCTTTGAAGTTGGGCATTCCACATACATCATTACATCATATTTTGCTTTAAGACTTGGTTCTTGAGACTTATAAAGTTCAGTCAATACAAGTACTCCAGCCGGCCGATCACGAACAATGTCGTATCCTCGCCGATTGGGCTCTTGAAATGCATGAAAATAATCCAGAGTTTCAACGAAAAATCTTCTTGACTGATGAGCCCTATTTCCATCTCGATGGCTACATCAATGAGCAAAACTATCACATCTAAGTCTTAGGAAACCAAAGATTTATAGTTAAAAAGTCTCTCCATTCTCAACGTGTAACTTTTTGATTTAATGGTCCGGAGCTGGCGAACAGTCACGGTGAATGAATGGTGCTATTGGGAGATGATGATAATTGGATGGTATTGATCTGGCCAACTATTACTTTTTCAACAAGTTGGCGCTACGGTCCATACAAGCAACGAAACTATTGATCTTTTAAGAGAAAAGTTTACGATCTATGTTGTCTCTCGAAGAGATGAACGCCATTGGCCACCGAAATCTTTTGATTTCATCGCCTGGGGCTTCTTCCTTTGTGGCCACGTGCATGATAAGATCTTCACGAACAGGCCAACGTCGATTCAAGACCTCAAAGATGGAATTCGTGAAAATATTGAGGGTATTAGGTTAGGTTAGGTTGCGTTGGCTACCGATCTAACAGACCGGATTCAATTAGGTCTGATTTAGACCCATTATGATACCACAAAAAACTTAAACCAGCAGGCTTCATCCTCCAGCCATTTTGATTCTCTAATAAATCTCATTAGATCCATGACTTTGATGTCAGCTATCTTCGATAGACCACCCAGCAGTAGGATCCCAATATAACGAAATCTCGCCCTGCTTAGTGGAGGACAGTCGCATAAGAAACGGGTGATCGTTTCCTCCTCTTCATCCTTCTTGCAGCTTCTGTAGCATCTTCTGTGCGGAGCCCTTAGTTTTTCTGCGTGGCACCCTATCAGACAAGGACCTGTCAGAACTCCTATAACTTTGGACATGTTGCCTCTTTTTAAGGAGTATATATCTCGTGATCTCTTCTTATCCCATTACGGCCAGGTGTGCCTGGTTTTGCGGCAGGTTGTGTTGTCATTCCATCTTGTGGTAACTTGTTCATATATGAATTTCTTGAGAGTTAGTTTGCATTTAGCAAAAGGCATACCAATGCGTTTTTAATCGGGAAGAAGACTCTGCTTGGTCGTACCCCGTCTAGTAAGTTCATCCGCATTATAGTTTCCCTCGATATCACTGTGACCAGGGACCCATATGAGAGACAGCCTGTTCTGTTTAGCCATCTTCTGTAGAGTTTAGCGTAAGGCAGTCCAGTGCTTTTGTTGTTGCATGGCTATCGCTGAAAATGAAGGTATCTTTATCTTTAAAGCAGGCTCCAATTTGTTTTGCAGCCTCCGTCATAGCAGATATCTCCGTCTGGAAAACACTGCAATGGTCAGGCAGCCTGAACGAGAGTTCCATTGGAGGGCATTCATACTTCGAATATGAAAATCACAGCTCTTGTAGGAAATCTCTATACAATGAAGCGAAAATGGGAAATTTTCTATTCTCCCAAACGTCAGGCATTTATCAACAACTTCATTACGATACAATGCAATGTTAATTATTCCACGCGAGAAACATGTTAGCTTTGTTAGTAAGTAATTGTTGATAGCTTTATTACATACATATATATAACTGTACTTAATATACTTACAATATAATAGAGACTGAGTAAATATTTATTTATTTGTATTTAGTTTTGTAAATGTAATCTGTTTTGTTTGTCTAACTAATAACGGTGTTGAACGAATGTCGGTGGCGACAAATTGGCTTGGTGTTTCTAAGTGTGGTAAATGAGTGCGTGAGACTTGCGCTTTGTGTGGGTACAAGTTTGTTTAAGTTTCCACTGTTTTTCGCCTCCCAAATTGGCCTAGTTCTGGAACTTTCGGTCTACGGTCTCTATTATTTCGCTTCAAGATGAATTCTATGCCATTTAAGTACTTATTTTAGTTGGCGGGTTTTGGTTGTATTCAAGTTTCTTGATCTCTGAGTGTTTCAAAGATGAGGTGCTGCTTTTCTCGGGTGCTTTCGTGGGCCGTATTGTGGTGTCGTATCTACTGAATCGCTACCCATTTCACAGTGTCACGTTGTTGATTCCTTTTGGAACTATCAAGTAGCGGACGTCTGCGGTACTCGTCGCTAGTTTTAGTAGTTTTCCGATCTGTCTTCTTGTCTCCTCTCTATAATCCCTCTGCCAGCTGGGGTCTTATACCCTTTAAATTATTATTGGTTGCTCGCTGTTTCCTTCGGCGATATAGCTGATGTTGGCGCAATGGTAGAGCACTTGCATGTTATGTCAGGATCTGTTGCTTCGATTCCTGCCATAAGAAGTTTGATGAGGAGATGTGTTGATCTCCTAAACAGCCGTTACTTCTACCATTTTTCTTTGTTGTATAACAAGAAAAAAATATACAATTCATACAAACAAACCCGGCCTTTCGCTCACTAAAAACTTATAACAAAAATATGACCGCAAAAACAGTTATGGATATGCTTTTAGTCCGTTGAACTTTGCTATCTGTCTTGTTATATTTTTGTTGATATTTTTCTGATTTTGCTTCATCTTATCGAACGTAAGGGCGATTACAGGTGATGGTGTTGTTGTAAGGGATTATTGCGGGAGTGACAGTCCTTAGCCGGATAAAAATCCGGGTCGCTTCAATATAAAAAGCCGACTGTCGCTTGAACTATTGGATTAAGGTCGCATGTCTTACCACAAGTAAAGTCTTGAGTACCGTAACCCGCAGGGGCAGATGATATTGCAGCTCACTCATTTCTATTGTTTTCTTTAGCAAATCATCACATTGACAGTTTGGTCTATATTTTAACCATGAATCGTCATACAAACGAACAACCCTTATGAATTTTATTGTCAAAATGCGTGCTCTGTTGAGAAAGTTCATCACGAGCTTCTTCAGTTCAGCGCCGAAGCTCATTTTTGGTTTAATGGGTACGTAAAATAAGCAAAATTTTCGATTTTGGAGTGAAGACCAGCCAGAAGCATTGCCAGAGCTACCAATGCATCCAGAAAAAGTCACAGTTTGGTGCGGTTTAAGAGCTGGTGGCATCATTGGACCACCTTCATTGAAAGATGATGCAAATCGTTACGTAACTGTGGATGGAGAGCGCTACCGTCAAACTTTTTTTGCCCAAAATGCAAGAGCTTGACTTGCATGACATGTGGTTTCAACAAGGTGGTGCCAAATGCTACACAGCACGCGTAACAGTGGACCCATTGAAAGGGGAGTTCGGTGAACATTTTATTTCACTTTCGGAACCGGTCAATTGCTCGCCTAGATCATGCGATTTAACGTCTTTAGACTATTTTTTGTTGGGCTATGTTAAATCTAATGTCTATACAGACAAGCCCGCTTCAATTGACGCACTGGAAGACAACATTGAAGCATTCACTCGTGAGATAGCGGCCGAAATGTTTGGTGGGAGTATGCCAATATTGGACTAAGCGGTTGGACCACTTGAGGCGTAGTAACGGTCAACATTTGCATGAAATAATCTTCAAGCATTAAATTATATGGATCGTGCTGTCGATTCAAATAAAGATTTCATGCATTTTTCTGAATTTTATGTGTTTAATCATCCCTTAGTTAAAGCGAACCCATCACACAATCTTGCACGGCTAGTAACCTCTTCTTTGCACACATTCAGGTAGACCTCTCTAAGGCGAAAATGCTTTAAGTCAGCAATTATACTGTTGTGGGCATAAAACTTGGAATAAGTGAGACCTGGATATTGTAATATGACTGTGAATGTCGCCATACCAACGTAGGTTCTGCTAACACTACTCGTCAAAATCCATAATTCATTTCCTTAACCTCTTGATAGATGATTTTGTTTATAATCTTTGACTATCCTTTGCGTAGCTGAGAAAGGGAATCGTTACAGCAGCAACGCAAAGTAATCACTGCAAGACTGAATTCAGTGAAAATCAAGTGGTGCTGGTTGTTTGACGACATCCAGAGTGTTTAAGTAATTGGTAATTGACATGAGAAAGGCAAGGAATGTAAAAAAAATTGGCCTCAGTTCGATGTCAGCACGCCTTTCAGCTCTCTAGTGAAATATCTTGGGAAGTCCTATCTGAGATGGATATTTTCGGCTCAGATACTAAGCCAAGACAAAAATATTGATAAATATGAAAGTTATTTTTTAATTTAAGATCTATGACTAACACTTTTTATGAACGACCAGAAGATAATCTAAAAGTAATCGCAAAGCTTATGCACGTAGTATTGGAGCCGGACGTTGGTAATGAGATTAGCCGTGATCGGTTAATTAGTCAGCATCTAGAAGAGTATAAGTAAGCGACTCTATAGCACTGATTAACCCTTAAACACTTCATACCAACTCCGTTTAACTTTCAAATTCAAAGTGCTTGACATTATACATATACAACATAGGAGGGGATTAACAAAAGTTGTCACACTGCTGTCACTTCTACCATTTTTCTTTGTTATATAACAAAATATCCAATTCATACAAACAAACCAGGTCTTTAGTTTACTTAATACTTATATCAAAAGTTCGGTAAATTGACCAGAAAACAAAATAGTTTTGTATTTATTTGAAATCTTTGTATTTTTTCATCTTCTCTACATAATCGGCGTTGATTTCAAAGCATATCTGAAGGCTATAAAGCCACTTTTGAAAACAGTCTTATAAATCTAGACCATTTTTAAGCTTCTCAAGT